TTACCTATACGATATGCAATTGGATCTTTTAAAAAAAATAATTAGTCGATTAATTGATTGATTGATTTTCCCTTGTATTCTTAAAACATAATCTTTACCAATTCTTTATTTCATTAATAGCATTCAATAATGTTGACGGTAAGCTTTCTTGATCATTTATATTTACATCTGTCTCATTTCATTATTCATCACAATTATCACATTAAAATCATTCATTGCTCAAGTTATTTACAACGCAAGGTACAACTGTGTGATTGTCCAATCAAAATTGGGACATGCTGCAACAAAGTGAACATTGGTATTACCAAGGACCTTATCAATGATTTTGTAGATATTGTAAAGGGCATGAAAAAAAATTATATAAATTGAACATTGTTTTGATGGCACTAATATATTAACACATCAGAATAATTATTATAACTATAATAAGCCATTAGATTAATCAGCCAAATAGTATACAAACAAAATAAAAATGAATGAATAAATATAATAGTATATGATATTAATATCCAAAAACTTTATCTAAATATTTCTCATAATCATAACCATCAGCAACATCATCCCTTTGTGGCATTGTTTCCTTAAGATATGATACAACATTCGTTGATAATAATGATCTTTTCAAATCAAGTTCTGTAACAAAAGGTTTATCACTTGCAACAGCTTTAAATGAACTTCTAAGTTGATCCGGCGTTGTTTTGTCTTCTGTGAAACTGACCATATATAGAATAAACTAGAAAAAAAAAATGAATTAATAAATTAATTACGAAAGAATGACCCTGGAGAATTTTTAAATTTTAATATAATAACATTACTTGTTCAAATGTTGCTTCTGGTTCTCCTTCACACATTTGATTAAATGCTGAAAATAATTCTTCCTCCTATAATTATTTTAAAGAATTTATTAAATATAGTTGTAATGGTTATCATTGATAGAAAAATTATTTTTTAAGTTAGAAAATTAACTTACATTGTAGAAAATACCTAAACTAGCCAATGCTGCTTTGAATTCATAAAGATTAAGTGTATTTGATGAATCTTTATCAAAGTGACGAAAAGTACTTTCAAATTCTTCTAGTTGTGCTGGTGTCAAATTTGTCATATTTCTAGACACAATCTAAAAATAAACAACATCAATATATAGGGATAGGTATATGTTAAAGCTACAGACTAATAAAAAAATGGCTAATACTTGATTTTCAATAAAAGAGATTTTTTTTGTGACAGCCTGTTGTACAAGACCTAATTCAAATTTCAAATCATCTACAGAAAAAACTGTGTAATCATTTTCTTCAATATTAGCTTCTTGACATCTTGCATCAATTTCTTGTATTTGACCAAGAGATTTTTCCAAAGGACCTAATTTAGCTGAAATTGCTTTAACTGTACTAAGTTGAATCTAACGGAAATATATTAACATTTAATAGAAAATAAAAATGTTATTATTTTGATTTGTTGTTATTGATAATACCTCTAATTCACCATCTAATTCAACCAAAGAATAAGAAATAGATTCCAAATTTTTCTGAAAGTCATTTGCTGACTGAGCAAATGATTTTCTCAAGTTTTCTTTAATACTAAAATATATGAAGCATATTAAACAAAATCCAAATATATAAATTTTCCTATTGGTCTTCTTTTTTTAATAAAAAAGATTTGCTTACTCTTTTAATTTATTATGAATAGATTTATATCGTTTGGTTTCTGCTAATAACAAACTTTGCCATACTTTATCCAGATCAGATAAAGTCAATCCATCAGGTGCTTTATAAGGTTGTAGTTGGTATGTATTAAGTTTTGTTTGAATATTGCCAAGCAATGTGTCCAATTCACTTTTTTCAGCCACCCAAGATCTTTTTTCAGTATATTTGTATTGATTAAATGTTGTAGATTGACTTTTTGCATCAGAATAACTCCCATCAAAATGTGGATTTGCCCAAGTATTTATCTTATCCTTGACACTTTTCATCAACTAAATTCATAAGAAAATTGAATGCCTTTAGATTTTTTCCCGAGCAAAAAAATAAATATTATTTCACATATGTATTAAGAGTTTTATTTAGAATAATTAAATACGTTTTTAACACGCCTCTCATAGTCATGTTCCATGTCCCATACAGACTGCATAACTTCTGCAAATTTCGCCACTCTTCTTCCGGCAGTTTCTATTTTATCTTTTGAAATAATAATAATAATAAAAATGATGATAATGATAATGATATTAATATAATGGAGACTAGCTTTACTCTTGCTGCTCTAATATATTCTGATACATCATATTTTAGACATATTTGTTGGAATTGAATGATTACCTAAATGAGAAAAAGCATGAAAATAAAGTGCCACATATGTCATAATGGATCTTTCATCAGGTTTTTGAATATCGCATACATCTTCAACGTCTAATAATTTCTTTTAACGTCAACAAAACAATCAATTATTCATTTGTTTTAAGAACAAGTATAAAATGAAAGCTTAATGATTAAATTAGCAATTCATCAACTTACAGGAATATCAAGATATTTTGCGGCGACTTCAAATGCCAATGAAGTATTGCTATGACGATCTGTCTATTATACATTTGATAATTAATAAAATTAAAATGAATATATATATAAATATATATATACATCTCTCAATAGAAGTCACCTTATCTAGTGAGTGATAATCTAAAAGATCAGGTCGATGTCTATGGATCAATGCGCAACTAAGTTAAAGAAAATGTCAATACTTTTAAAAAACAAATAAAATTGCATCTCCTAATAAAAGAATAAAATAAAATAATTCTTACAATGCTAAACCACTTTGCCAACTTTTAATTTTTTAAGAATATTTGAAAAAAGAATTCCAAATATTAAATAATTGTATAGTAATTAACAATGTAAAATTCCATATGAATATATATATATATATTAATCATACCTATAAGTAAAATCTTTTACATCAACTTCAGCATAAGGAGCTGTTTTTCTTTGACACCAAAGTAATAATCCTTCTTTGGCAGTCAGACCTTCTTCACTAAATTTATTAAACATTTAAATAAATAAAAAAATTTTTAAAAGCCTTGACAATTTATCATTCACAAACCTAATATCAGCAATAGTGAATCTTAAAATAATTGTCCATATCATGCCAAGAATAAGTTTAATATTTGTATCAACAATATCTAATTATGAATTTTTTTAAAAAATATTATTAAACAACTAACTAATGAATCATTAATATTAAGAATTATTTGATGTTATATGCAATAGTATTATCTATAGAATAATTGATTATGGTCTACCTTCAGCACCAATATTTGTTAGTGGGACACCACGATGTTTAATAAATTCTAAAGCTTTATTTACATTTTCAACTTTTTGAATACGTAACTTTGGTTTTTTATTATATCTGCCAAAAGACAAATCACCAATAATTTCCTACAATTAAACCCCAATTTAAATAATTTGGTTCTACAATGTCGTTAAATGTCTATTAATTAACAAATTTACTAACCAAAAGCTCTATTAGACGTACACCATCTGAAACATCTCGATACAAATCTTCTATGGGAGGGATATCTTTTATAGCCAATTTACTGTTAAACCTTTTTTTAATGATATAGCAAATTATTATTATAAAGAATTATTAAATTGTCCTCATTTAAACATCAGTTAATTGCATTCACCTACCATTTAGTAAAAGTTTTCTGTTGTATAACTTCCCAGGTGTTAGCTGAAATGATTTTTGAAAAAACCAATTTTGGCAAGCCATTTAGATTTACAATATTCTATTTTATTGATTATTTGATCAATTTTTTGATTTATAATATAAAATTGATTTTTTGCAAGTTTTATAGTGAAATAAGAAACCAAGGAAAACTCCAATTAACAACTTGCAAAAAAATTTACCATTGAATATAGGCATTTTTTTAAAAAATATTATTAAACAACTAACTAATGAATCATTAATATTAAGAATTATTTGATGTTATATGCAATAGTATTATCTATAGAATAATTGATTATGGTCTACCTTCAGCACCAATATTTGTTAGTGGGACACCACGATGTTTAATAAATTCTAAAGCTTTATTTACATTTTCAACTTTTTGAATACGTAACTTTGGTTTTTTATTATATCTGCCAAAAGACAAATCACCAATAATTTCCTACAATTAAACCCCAATTTAAATAATTTGGTTCTACAATGTCGTTAAATGTCTATTAATTAACAAATTTACTAACCAAAAGCTCTATTAGACGTACACCATCTGAAACATCTCGATACAAATCTTCTATGGGAGGGATATCTTTTATAGCCAATTTACTGTTAAACCTTTTTTTAATGATATAGCAAATTATTATTATAAAGAATTATTAAATTGTCCTCATTTAAACATCAGTTAATTGCATTCACCTACCATTTAGTAAAAGTTTTCTGTTGTATAACTTCCCAGGTTTTGACACCAAAGTAATAATCCTTCTTTGGCAGTCAGACCTTCTTCACTAAATTTATTAAACATTTAAATAAATAAAAAAATTTTTAAAAGCCTTGACAATTTATCATTCACAAACCTAATATCAGCAATAGTGAATCTTAAAATAATTGTCCATATCATGCCAAGAATAAGTTTAATATTTGTATCAACAATATCTAATTATGAATTTTTTTAAAAAATATTATTAAACAACTAACTAATGAATCATTAATATTAAGAATTATTTGATGTTATATGCAATAGTATTATCTATAGAATAATTGATTATGGTCTACCTTCAGCACCAATATTTGTTAGTGGGACACCACGATGTTTAATAAATTCTAAAGCTTTATTTACATTTTCAACTTTTTGAATACGTAACTTTGGTTTTTTATTATATCTGCCAAAAGACAAATCACCAATAATTTCCTACAATTAAACCCCAATTTAAATAATTTGGTTCTACAATGTCGTTAAATGTCTATTAATTAACAAATTTACTAACCAAAAGCTCTATTAGACGTACACCATCTGAAACATCTCGATACAAATCTTCTATGGGAGGGATATCTTTTATAGCCAATTTACTGTTAAACCTTTTTTTAATGATATAGCAAATTATTATTATAAAGAATTATTAAATTGTCCTCATTTAAACATCAGTTAATTGCATTCACCTACCATTTAGTAAAAGTTTTCTGTTGTATAACTTCCCAGGTACGATCCATTACTTTTGCTAAACAAATATCCCAAATTTTGTTAATTGTTAATTAGCTAAAAGCTTAAAAACGTGTTTTAGTGATTATTCATGTTTTCTTATTAAACGAAACGTATTTACCTGTATCTTCGACAATCTGCTGGGAGGCCGGTAAAGGCTTAAAAGGTATTGACATTTTTAAAATTTTTAATGTAAACAATTCTTTTTGAATAAAATTTGATTTTATCTCAGAATTTGATAACGTGTAAAATTGAATTATATCATAGTTGCACACTGGTAATTAATCAGATTTTGCGCATGCTGCGTCATAACTGATCATTTAGTTTTTCTCACGCGTCATTCTCTTTAAAATTAACTAATCCAAAGCAAGTTAAATGAATTGCAAGCATATCCTCTAATAGACAGGTAAAAGTTTTTTTTTTTTTAATATTTTTCGAATTTATTCTTTTGATTGTGTAAGAATGTCAAAAGACAACATTTGTTCCTATTAAATAGATTCTATAAAAGAAATCGTAGAAATCGTAGACGAGTTTTACCAATATCAAACTGAAACTTCTGAGTTGTTTACTGGAGAGATACTGGACAACTGGGAAGTCCGTGATGCATTTCTAGAAAAGGATAGGGAAAATCATATTGAAAATCAGCAAGCAACTATAATCAGCTTTTGAATATGTTGGATTGAGTAATGTGACTGAGATCTGGGCTGTGGCAGTTGGAGATTCCTTAACAGTAAACATTATTTGGTATTGTTACAAAACAATGCCCATTTATTCTCCTGTCTTTACCATACATCAAGAAATTGTGTGTCGTCACTATTTTCAAGCTATGTTTAACAATCAAAGCCAAATTTCATATCGGGTTTATTCCTTCACATTGGTATTTTAAAGGCAAAGATGGATTAGAATAATTGTTTCTTGTAGCCGATAAGCATAAGATAATGAGATACAACAAAATATACATGCATGTTGGATTTTTATATATGATAAATGGATTTCCTTGAAAAAAGTCTTTAATGTCCTTGAACAAAAATTAGCGTATGGTGGATTACATGGAGTCTACAAGAAGACATTAAAAAAAGCACTGTTAACGAAAGATAAATCGGAAGAATTATTACTAAATTTTACTGATGATGATGATGCTGATTATGTTACAGAAAATAAAGATGATAAGGTAAAGTAGACCAGCAGATACTAAACGAATAAAAACATCGCTTGAACAAGATTATACGAAAGTAAAGCAACAAAAATTGTAGTGAAATTGTACACTATCAGAAAATAGATGGCGTGGTTTATTTTTTATTTGCTGATAAAATAATGTTTTCAATTGCATGTTACAAAATTTCATGTTATTGTAATGGGGTACGTATTTACCGACAGTTCATTTTACCGACAACATACGGTGCGCCATTTTAGCATTTCTTTAGTTGTTTGATTATGTGGAGGTTAAATGTAACCCCTCTAGTTGTCGGTAAAATGAATGCCTCCCATTGTAATGTTACGAAATAATTATTTGACTGAACAGTTCATATTACCTTCTCTGTGATCCAACACTTAACTATGTGTTTGTTTTTGATTATAGTTTAAATTTTTAATCCTTGTAATGAAGAATGAATCATAGAACTATTATAAATGGGTTTTTGATAACTATTAACTGTAATATTTTTTAGTATGGTGTATATTATTATAGTAATTGTGATAGATAAATTTACTCGCAACTATCATTATTATTTTTGCGAAGATGTGTTAGGAATAAATTTATTATTAAATAAAAAGTGATTACATTTTTACAAATGAAAAAAATATATTAATATATATATACTTTATAATAATAAAGAAAAAAATATCATTATAAACTTTAAAAATTCAAAGAAATCTTTTAAAAATCTTTTTCTTCTACATCAGCATACCTATAGATTTCTCTTATAATAAAACGATTAAAATCATTATCTGTCCAATAATTTTGATGACAAGTTAGTGCATTAATAACACTTATATCTAAAACACCTTCCTATAATGTTGGCATGATGTTAATATATATACTAATTAACAAGTAAACATAAATATAAATACAAATACTAATATTTTTTACCTGAAGAGAATAATCAACTCTACCAGAAATATTTAATCCCTTTAATTTGTTGGCCCCTGTATTTATGGCCCTTTCTTGCTGATTGTTGTCAGCGGCAACAACTTTTTCTATCGTTGATGATAGTGGTAATGATGATGATGATGATGATAATGATGATGATGATAATGATGATGATGATAAATTTTGTTCGATTGTCTTTTGAGTATTTCTTTTGAAACTAAATGTTGATTTAACTGAGGTAAATATATTTGATGCTTTATTTGCTATTCCTGAACCAAATTCTTGAAATCCTATTTGCATTCCTTTTAAACCACCTTTATAATACGGTACTAAAGCAGGCTTTAGTTGAGATGAATATTTCCTTGCTATCAATGGTTCTAAATAATATTTTTTTAGAGTTACATGATACTTATAAACTAGTAGAATAATTACTGATTTTTGTCATTTTTCTTAACTTACCTATACGATATGCAATTGGATCTTTTAAAAAAAATAATTAGTCGATTAATTGATTGATTGATTTTCCCTTGTAAATTTAAAATATATGTAAAAATTACCTGCTTTATAAAATATATTGTAAATGTTTCTTACAGCAGGATAGCAATAATGTATTTTAGATCTTTTAACAAGTTTTTTATTATCTTTAATTTTTCTTCCAATTGTCTCACTCCCTTCTACTTCCTTACTTTCTTCGCTGTCATCATCTTGACTTCCTTTTATCAATCCATTTTTTCCTTCATCTTCTTCACCTCCTTCACCTTGAATTCCTTCTAACTTTTCTAAGCCATCTTCACCTGCTCTTTCACCTTGACTTTCTTCTGACTTTTCTACTCCTTCATCTAGACTTTCTCCTAACGTTTCTCCTGTATCTTCTTCACCTTCACCTTCACCTTTTAATACTTTATGACGTACACTTTCTTCTTTTGCTCCTTCACCCTGACTTCCTTCTAACTTTTCTACTCCTTCTTCATCTTGACTTTTCCTTAACGTTTCTTCTATATCTTCTTCATCTAATACTCTGCGACGTACATTTTCTTCTTTTGCCTCCTCTTCATATTCTTTTGACGACTTTTTTTTAGCAACCTTTAATCCTTTTAATAATAAAAATGCTCCAAGTGGTGATCCAACAGCAAAAAAATTATATACTTTAAAATCTAACTTGATATTTTCTGATATGATTATTTTTTCTTCAAACACACCATAACTATTTGATATTTTTGGTAATGGTGGTTGATGGCACAACACATCAAATGCTAATATTGAACCTAATGAATGTCCACAGAATGAAACTTTACCATTATTCTCTAAAAATGATGGATTATATTTGATAAATAAATTATAAACTCTGTTGACTTCTTTCGTCACTGTTCTAAGCATCATTTCTCTATATCTTGGCGTCATATATAGTAAAACTACATAACAATAACAACAACAACATTATTATTATATATAATATTAAATTAATTATTAAATTTTTAGTTTTATTATTATTGTTGTTATTATTATTATTATTATTATTACCATCCATCAATACATCAGACATCAACGTACGAAATGATGGCACACCTTCAATTGTAATTTCATCAATGGTTGCCTGACCTTCATCATCGTCATCATTGTCACTATCATAATCTAAGTAATCATCATCATTTGATCCAACTCCAAACTATATGATGATAATAATAGAATATTAATTAATAAATTGTTTAAAATTTCTATATAAATAATGATTTTACACACTTTAATTTCTTTTCTCCATTGAATTGGCAAAACTTGTATGCCGTTTAATTTTTGAATAGAATTTAAATTACTGTTACTTGGCATTTTTTGACTGATTTCTAGTGGTGGATATTGTATGAATGTTTCTCTTAGAGATGATCTAAATTTATTAATCGCTTAATAAAGAAGAAAATTATCATTATTGACTGATTGATTAATTATAAATTTTTCTTCTATTATAATTTACGTAGGTTATAAATTTTGAAATTTTGAAATATACCAGAAACAAAATTAACTGATGGCATCTTTTCACTCAATTTTTGTCCGATTCTAACCAAATAATCAATAACCAATATTATTATTATTAATGAATAAAAATTTTGATAAAATCACCAATTAAGATCATTAATTAATTAATTAATTATTATATTATTGTTATTTTTACCCATGAATCACCAATATTAAATGATTTATATTTCTTTTATCTTCTGGTGTCTCAATTTCTTCATAATCAATAAATTCTTTAAACTTTTCATCATTCAACTTAATAGAATTAACCTTCTTATTTTGTGAGTTTGATTCTTTTATTTTATTCTCTAATTCTTTGATTGATTTTTTATTCTTAAATTTCACCACTTCACTAAAACCTCTGATCAATCTTATTCCACCTAAATTTTCACCATTTGTGAACTTGGAATAAATACTTTTTGTAAATTTTCCAGCCAAGTCATCACTATACACACAATAAATTTTTAAAAATAAGTATAAAAATAATATATTTATTTTAAATATTTTAATATTTATTATTGTGTTTACTTCTTACATCATTAACCATGCAATTGACGAGCTTGTATAAATAACATATTGTGATTCATATCCATCAATTAATCTATGAATTTTCTCTGATAATTGTGGAAATTTCGGATCGGTTTCTTCTTCTTCTGATTCATTTATTAACGAAATCCATGCCTTTTCATTTATATAACCTTCTTCGATTTGTACAGCCAGTGTTTCATCACATGGTAAAAAAATTCCACCATCATCTTCATAAAACCATGTTGCACGTACGACTAGATATATCGGACCAATCCAATATATCTAAATAAAAATAAATTTTAATATTTACTTCTTTATTAAAGATTAGCAATACATACTTACAGGAAGAAGTTCACGTCTATCAACATCAACTTCATACAAACAATCTTCATTGCATGCAATTTTGACTCCTGCTTCACCTGACATATATGCTCCTTCTAATGCATTGGAATCACTTTTTGAAAATGGTAAATATACTTTGGGGTATTTATCGTCTTTGTCTGTGGGCTGGTTTAAACTTTTACTAGGATCGCGTAGCGGTATATCTGTCGCGTAGAACCAGCGAGGAACAAGTACTGGATAAGTTTGAGAGTTTATTATAGAAATATTATCCGATGACATTTAAACTTTTGTTTCCCACGTATCACGGATCTACAAGAAAATTCGTAAAATAAATACGTACTAGTACTAGTATTATTATATATCAATCAAAAAATTTAAGCTCTCTGTCCATCTGTCATCCATCAGTGTTTGGTAACATGTTCACCATATGCGAACGATTTCCATATTTAGTTTAATGCAGTTTTTATGGATACTACACGGAATATTGAGAAAGAAATTTTTATGACGACTAAAAAAAAAAACAATGAACAAAATTATTCCCAAGGGCAAGTATTTGTCTTTGTTAAGTTGTAATACATAATTAACATTTGGGTGGAGAATTTCATTTTCACGCACAACATCTTTAAAATAATGAGTAAAATGTGATTTTTTATTATTCCCGTTGCACTATGACGGTTTTTTCATCATTGATATTTCTCATCCTTCAAAAATCTCTCTGTGTCAATAAACTAGAGATATTATACTACACTATATTCAAAAAATAGAAATAATATCTTCTTTCTTTTTCATGGATTAATAGCATTTGAAAATGTGATTTTTTATTACACCCGTTACGTTATTATTATGGTAATTTTTGAACATGATTTTTTCACCATTGGTTTATCGATACAGAAAATTATGTTCAGAAATGGAAATAATATCCTCTTCTTTATAGTTACATTTCGAAACGTGATTTTTTATTATGCCCATTGCATTATGACGATTTTTGATCATGATTTGATTTTTTCATAATTGGTATTTGTTACCCTCAAAAATTTCTCTGTGCCGATAAATATATAGCATTTCGAAAATATCACTATTTTGTCGATTGTTGAATATACTGCGATACCACAATACTTGATGTTTCGGCGGTTGTAATCCTAACCTTTTGCTTCCCGCATCTTACATTCTGAATTGGTGAGATGGCTTTTTGGTAACTTCCTATTTCGTTCCTCTCCAGAGCATTAGGCCTAAATTTGAGTGCTTTATTGTTGCCCCAGAACAAAAAGTATTAGGTAATAGTAAACAAATAAATTTGATACATTTCGTTTTCGTTTAGTACTTTTATTTTCTTTTTAATTATGAGGGCACAACTTTGCTGGGTTGCCTACGCCGGTGGTAGGTTTACTAACTTAGATATATAATAGGAATATCTATATAGATAATGCCGTAACATCATGTCGGCCGGCCACAGTGCGATATCCAAGTTATATCTTGGTGGCCACCAACTTCATTTGTACTTCACTTATTTTGAGGTTATTCATTAAAATAGGTTTGGTATATCCAGGAACCCAAGGAATAATTCACATCAAAAGATTAGATATAAAGGATTTAATTAGTGACTGATGATCTGTATACATAATTTCTAAATTTGGTAATAGATTTCCGCGTTACCTTCTGGTTATAGAAATAAAATTACCATTACCCAATTAGGTACGTAGTAAATGGCTTAGCCGGCTAAGGATTTTTAAACGGCTAACATCACATCATTAATATATAATAGTTTTATTAACCCATTTTCATCCATACGTGTAACGTAACCATTTTTCACAACAATGAATGTTTTCAAGCTTCATTAGGTTGCTTGTTTTAAAATATCTGAAAGGAAGGACATAGATATTAATTTTTCTGCAGCAAAGTCCATAGATCGTGTTGATATTAATATTGTTTGGAGACATTAGTTTACAGATATATTTTTAATTTATTAAATCATTTAATGGATTTATTAATGAATTTATTTTATATATTTTAATAAATTAGTTTACTGTACCAATTAATTGTATTCAAAGAAAAATTAAGAAATAAATGATAGTAAGGAAGGTAGATCCTTAGAAATGCCAGAAAATGATATAGTTGAATATATATATACTTGAATGATTAGTTGAAAAAATTTTATGAAATTAGTCTGTAAAAAAGATTGCTTTATAAAAAAATTAAGTAAAGATACAATTAATTAAATTACCAATATAATATTTACTTTTAAATATATGATATATATAACCTAAATTACAAACAAACAATAAGGTCACCTCAAATAATATTAGATTTATGTGAATATTTCAGCAGGTGTAACAGCATTAGATATAACACTTCCCAGTAAATTTTCTTTTTTCAAAAATTGTGTTGGAAAATTAACTAAATGTCCACGAATGTTTTCTATTTGTGAGGCTACACTATCAATTGATGCTTCAGTATCAGCTATATGTCCTAGAGGAACTTTTGATTGATCAGGAACGAAATTCTTATATTCCTCCCAACTAGTGACTGAAAAAATATACACAATATTATTAGATTTATTGATTAATTTGATTTTTTAAAAATAAAATGTATCCATGTATGTATGTATATGGGAAGTTTCTAGCAAAAACCGGGTACAAGTATAGTAAATTTTTTTGAGTGATGATCTCTGCAAAATATGTTACACATATGCTTTTGACATATAAAGTGAATATTAATATTTCAGGCCTGGTATCTTGTCATTGTACTAAGTAAACAATGTCTAAAAATTTCGCCAGTTATAATCCTTGTGGCATAGATATATATTATGCAGAAAACTCAATTTTGGAATAGAGACCTTATACCTGGTTTTTTTGCTAGAAATCTTCTCATATATATTATATGACCTACCTTTATCATCTGGTATGCAATGAAATAATGAACGATAAATTTCTGTGTTTTTATTTGCTCTTGAAGTCCAATAATCATAGAATTTATCTGAAAGTGGATCCATTAAAATTAAATCTTCTTCTGTTTGTTGTTTAGAATGACGACATGATGATGATGATGACTCATCAAACATGTGTGAAATTGAATTATCCTTTTCATGTAACAATTCATAAACATATTTGGCTTCGAGAGGTGGTAAACAACTTTTTGTCACAGTTGAATGGTCTTGTTTCTCAATAAATCCCAAGTGTTCTTTAAAGATAGAATTACGTAATTTAAAAGCAAATTTTCGTGCTAAATACTAAAATAAGATATATTAATAAAATGTGTCAATATGTATTTTTCAATTCATTAGGAAGTAAATGAGTAAATGAATAAATGAATGGTGAAATAACAGGTAAATGTTACGTACATCTTTACCATTCATTTTAGACTCAACAACTGCATTATCTTCAACAATGATTGCAATTTCTGAATCACGATTCCCAAGTTGTGATCTATCATTTAGATTAGCTAAAATATTATAAATAGTAATTAAATCATCTAATTAAACCATTTAGTTAAACAAAACCATTTTATTTTATTTATCATATACCTGAACCAATAACAACATATTTGTCATCTACAATCATTATTTTGCTATGAATATAAACTTCCTCTGTCAAATAATTATGTTTACTATCCATATGTGTCATTCCACTAGGAATCATAGGTTCACCTTCAATTCCAACATTTGTTGAAAAATCAGCATGCTCATCAGAAAATGAATCTTCAGTTTTTTCAGGTGCATGTTGAGCTATTTGTTGTTGTTGTACATTATTATCATCAGTATTATCAGTCTGTGAAGATGAAGATTGTGATTTTTCTCTTTTTAATATATCTTCTGGTTTTAATGATCGGTTTGCATCTGAAGATGATCGACTTTTGTTGAAGGAATCGTTTATAACTTCTTCCTTATTATCATTATCAATATTACTATCATTATCAATATTACTATTATTATCAGAATTATCATTATTGTTTTTATTGTTATTATTAAAACTTAGAGAACTAATTGAATTCCTTAATATAGAGCTTCTGGCTTTTCCTTTTTTTGAAGATGATTTAGAATGTGTAATTGACTCATCATCATCTCTATGAATTTTATCATGACCACGTAGAGCAAAAAATGAAATATATTTCTCATGATCAACCCCAGCTTCAGTTAACTTTTCCAAAAGTGATTTACCACCACGACAAATAGAAAAATATTGCCAATGCATTATCATTCTTTTATAAATAACAATATATAAGTAATGATGGGGATAGATGATTAATGATTATTATATGTTTACAACTAATTTTAAAATTTTGATAAAATTACCTAATTGTTCCTGCATCTTTTGAATCCAAAGCTGCTTCAAATGCTGGTAATAATGGCATCACTACTATTACACGGAATTTCTCATTATTTTTGTTGGCTTTAATTATTCTTTCAACAATAAACTATATATATTAATGATGTGATGTTAGCCGTTTAAAAATCCTTAGCCGGCTAAGCCATTTACTACGTACCTAATTGGGTAATGGTAATTTTATTTCTATAACCAGAAGGTAACGCGGAAATCTATTACCAAATTTAGAAATTATGTATACAGATCATCAGTCACTAATTAAATCCTTTATATCTAATCTTTTGATGTGAATTATTCCTTGGGTTCCTGGATATACCAAACCTATTTTAATGAATAACCTCAAAATAAGTGAAGTACAAATGAAGTTGGTGGCCACCAAGATATAACTTGGATATCGCACTGTGGCCGGCCGACATGATGTTACGGCATTATCTATATAGATATTCCTATTATATATCTAAGTTAGTAAACCTACCACCGGCGTAGGCAACCCAGCAAAGTTGTGCCCTCATAATTAAAAAGAAAATAAAAGTACTAAACGAAAACGAAATGTATCAAATTTATTTGTTTACTATTACCTAA